TCGCCAGCAGCACTGTCCTTCTCAAGGACCTTTGCGTCTCAAGTGATGGGGAAGCTCTGGGTCCATGGCGGATGAACGGCAGCGACCAAAGCGATGGTGAAGCCAGCTGTTCGCCCACTCCGGTCAGATCTCCTATGGTCAGGAATGGTCCAAAGAACCTTGGGAGATGCATCTCTGTTGAGCACAGAAAAGAGCCCGACGGGAACGCCTTCCTTCAAGCCACCAGGCCTGGTAGTAATACTTCTTCCCAGCACGATGGAAAATCAGCATCCCCACTCCAGCAAAGAGCTGAAAGAGGGCACAACCTCATATCATCAAAAGAGATGAGGGACCCAGGGCAGTTTGTTCCAGAGGCCACTGGCTGTGGGATAACTCAGTGAGGGCACACAGCAGAGCTCATGGGACGAAGGAACCCTGGTCAGGCCTTGCAGTTGCCAAGTTGCCTCCGAGGGGGATTACGGGGACTGCCCAACCAGGACCAGGCAGAATCCCAAGCAATTACTCTGACGGCCTATCCCCAAAAGGGATACGACTACAAGCCAATTCAGAACTTTCTTTGAACACCTAAACAGCAGAATCATCTGACACTGTTCAGGTGACCCCAACAGTTGACTTTCTAAGAGTGTACACGTACGTATCAACTTATACACATGTTATCTACCATGTCTCCCACTAAAAAACAAAGGTAGTTGTAAGAGCCAAGATAAAACAGTTCCTACTCAAGAAATTACAAGGACGCACAGCTTGAGACACGCTCTCACAATCACGACCTTGAGCTGGCCCCGTGCAGTTCATACTCCCTGGCTGCGAGGCTCAAACCCAAGATTTCTACTCTGGGAGACAATGCGCCCCTCCATCCCCACACACAAAACGTAGTCTCAACAACCAAAACACGAATGGAAGTACGAAGAGGAAGATAGAAAAGGAACTCGACAGCAGGATTCTGGCTGCCCCTGAAAGCCGCACACTGTCAGCGTTTCTCCTGACTGCACTGAAAATGATAGTCCGAATGTCCCGGATGGAATCTAGCAGGAGGGGCAAGTCACCTCCTCCTGTCAGAAAAGTTCTCTATTCTAACCAGCAGCTACAATAGTGGCTGAACATTTATGCCACTCGCAAGTCACAAGGACATTTACCCGAACAGAATCTCTAACGAACCTGTAAGATGTGAGAGACCGACCAGTGTGACTCTACTGGCCGTCATGGTGAAGAAACATGGTCTCTGGGCTACGAAGCGCCCTCCCCCTGCCACATTCAGAGGAGAGAAGCACTCGGACACAGGCAGATAGGGCCTGGGGGCAAGAGGGCAGGCAAGAGGGCAGGGGTCCAACAGTCAGGCGAGGGAGGGGGGGAACTCAGCTTCCACTGGTGAGCAGAAGGACCGAGCAGAGGACAGCAAGGCCTGGGTGGCCAAGCAGTGACGTCTCAGGCCAGAGGAGGAGGAAGAGCCATTCACTGCTCACATCCAGGTGCCTCAGTTACTGCAGATTCCTGGGAGGGGCGGCATGGAGATGGGCAAATAGGAACATTCTCTCTCAAGGCAAAGGCTGCATGTGCAGACAGACATGGAGTACAGAAGAAGGTCCTGGGCTGCTTTCCACCACTACCAGCCCCAGTCAGGGGTCTGGGTAAGGCTCACAGCAGTAACCGAAGAAGATAAGGCTCCCGCAGGTCAGCACAGGCAGCTTTCGGAAGAGGCAGAGCAGCTGGCGGGGCCACATTCTCCTTACTGAATTTCAACCAGCAGAGACCACACTGGCTGCTTCTCATCCTCAAGATCTTAGGCTGGGAAAAACTGGCAATAAAGGCACAAGAGTGAAATTAACATAGTTTTTACAAAGGAGGAAACTCTGTTTAAATTACAGATGAATCAAGCAAAACTGAATATGGTATAGGTAAAAAATGTAACTAGATATTAAACACTTGGTTAATATATACTTGGAACAGGAATATTTAGCTTTCCAGAAAATGGGGCAATTTCCTCTGGCAGAGTGGCCAGTCCTCAGAAAAAGGAGCCCTGCCAGCCTACACAAAGCCCGCAGCCAGGCCATATCCTTGCCACCTTCTCATTCCCCAGCACTTGCACAGGGGCTGGGGACACAGGCGTTGACACACGTCAGAGACCGGATGCTCGCCATCACATCTCCCTGTGTAGCTGCTGGAGGAAACCTAGTCAAGAAAGTTGATGACGTTGGCCTCGATGCAGTTACACGTTCTTATCCTGGCCAGTGGTTACAAAGACTTGCAAATTTTCTTTTAAGAGCAATGAAAACCTTTCTTCAAAAGACATGTCATGCGGGACTCCACTACATACTAAAGATCAAGCTGCCACTGGTTAGATCACAGCAGCCTCAAGCCCGAAGTTGGCCCCACGGTACCCTGTGAAGCCCACAGGGCAAGCCACACGCAGCTCCGAGACGTGGGCGGGAGCATGCTCACCCAGTTCTCAGGCCGGTACTCGTAGAAGATTACCAGTGCTGTGGAGGACACAGTCCGAATCACGCTGCTAATCAAATACAGACAAGATTCTACAAAGAGGAGATGCTACCGCTTAGAAAAAGGAAAACTGCCGGGCTCGGTGGCTCAGCCTGTAATCCTGCACCTTTGGGAGGCTGAGGTGAGTGGATTGCCTGAGCCCGCAGGTTTAGACCCGCCTGGGCAGGCGAGACCTCATCTCTACAATAAATAAATAAAAAAATTAGCCAGGCGTGGTAGCGTGCGCCTGTAGTTCCAGCTACTT